GCTTGGCTTTAGAGGGAGACGGGTGCCAATTTAGGGTTTAGGGTTTAGGGTTTAGGGGTGGCAAGACAAATTCGAACAGCCGCGTGACTACATCGAGACTTCGGACCATGCGAAGCAGCCGAACAGAACGGACGCCTTGCGTTGTGTCCTGTTACTTTATCGCAGAACCTCCGTTAATTTCTTATTCTGATTGCTCTCTCAGTCTCTCAGGCTCTCTCCCTCTCTCTCCCTCTCTCTCTCTCTCTCCCTAAAACAGTCGTTCAATTCTCCGGGAGCGCAGAGTCTGCAGCCGATGATCCTTAAACAGATACCTTCACCGAACAGTCTCTTTGCAGATGAAACTTTGATGTCTCTCCGCCTCGAGTCGCGCTCGTCAGAGTGCGGACAAGGCATGACTTCAAAGTAGCCTCGTGTTCGTGCTTGCCCGGCGCGCCCGCACGAAATTCAAGCCATTTCCGAACTGGAGAGTATGAGACCATGCTGTGCAAGACCCCAGAAGTTCCACGGGTGTGCCGGAGTGGGGGCTTGTCATGCTTTATGGGACGGAGGAAGTGCTGGCATAAAGAGACACCTCATCCACCAAGCAAAATGTTATTGACACTGTTACCATGCGCCTGTGAATTTGTTATGGCTACAAGCAGACCATGCGGGTGGTATTCTCCTCTAGCTTGCCTCATTCGCCCGACGCGGGAAGCGTCTCCTCAGCAGGTCCCCAACCACCAACATGTCAAGGAGTTGCCCGCAGCTTTGCCCTAAAATCCAAACCGGGACTCCGGGACTGCTGCAACCTTCTAAATTGCAAGAAGAGTACATACAGTAGGCAACCAGACCGGACACACTGGAAAGTCTTGCCCCCGTGACCCGGCAAGGGGTTTCGGGACTGGGAACTCGAATGCTGTGGCTGAAGTTGCTTCTCGAATCCACCTCCTGCTGCTGCTGTTGCTGCTGTTGCTACGACTTCAACTGTATACGATTACTTTCGGGACATCCTGGTATCCAGCTCCAGTTTGGAAAGCTTCAGGGGCGATGTGCTTGAACATCAGAAGCTCAAAAGATTCTAAAGAAAGCATTCCTTGAGGCTGTGTCGGAATGCGGGGCTCATGTGCTTGCAAGCAGACTTCGAAGACCTCGAGCTGACGATCGCAGTGCAAGCAACATAAGCCAAGGCACTCGCCAAGCGCTGCCCGCAGGACTTTCGCCGTCCACTTGCAGCGTGCGCAGGTGTACTCGTCCTGCGAGCTTTGAGCAGGGACGTCAATGGTCTGCGTAGGTCAGCGGCAGTCGGCTACGCAGGTTCCTTTTCGACCAAACCGTGACGAGCACTCGAGGAAGTGGAGATCTGGGCAGCTGGTGACACTCAGTGTCACGGCCCATCGCAACACCCTTTACCGACAATCTCTGCGGTCCTGCCATCAGTCTCCGACCCCGTCACCTTCCCCCTCTATGGGCATTGCGGCACACGAGGCTCTAAGCTCTATAATTCCCTAACCCCCAGGTACCTACTATATAGGGTACTAGAGCCCCTAGGGCCCTATATAGTAGGTACCGGGATTACTATGGACACGAAGTAGCAAAGGCAAAGCTCGGGCAGTCCTCCTGGACGTTGCTGATGCTCAGAAGTGGCTTGGCCAAAGGCTTGCCAAGGCAGCCTAGCATCCCCGGAGTCTCAAGCACAGAATGTAGAGGGTCTCCGCTTGAGCCCCTGAAACCCAGACCCACAAAGTAGCTTGGCGCGTCGTTCCGGAAACTGAAATGTGGGAGCCCGGGCTCTATAGTGTGCATAGTTTGTTCATGCACCTCAGTCTCTGTGTAGATTGATGACGAAGGAGATAACGAGGCAGTGAGGGAGATCATCGTGATCATGACCTCGCTTCTGATATTGGTGACGGCGACCATGCGAACCATGCATTCATCCTGATGGTCATGGTGATGATACTTACATACCTACGGCCCGCGAAAGCAAACTTACATTTGTCTGTCGCTGTGTAGGTTCTTCCATACTTCCAGCGCAGCAAGAGTGAAGAGCAGATACATTCTCGAAGCCCCTATGACCTCCATGCTCGCAGCATTTCCAATGTAAAAAGCACAGGTGCTCGAGCCCCAACGACGACTGTGTTCGCCGCGCATCCGATGTGCGAATCGAGCATAATGCACGAGTCCCCAAGGGGCGAGAGCATAAGAATAACAGAAGAACGGGTTCTGTTCACAAAGCTTTTGCAGACAGCCTTTTCAACCTACACTCCCCAACACACTTCTCTAAACCTTTGATTTCCTCGGCCCAGCCGGTGCTGTCGCTGCCTTCTACTCAAGCATTTGCTGCCCGTCTTGTCTTGTTGGTGCTGGGGTGTGTTTTTTGGGACTGGTGCCCATCGATTGAAATTAAACCTGCAAAAATCCATCAGAGCGGAAACTCCAAGTATTCCAAGGACATGTCGCTCTTGCATACGTTGTGGTCTAGGGCTGAAGCCGGAGCTTCAACGAATAAGAATGAGATGCAACAAAGGAAAGGAAGCGGCCTCTCCGGCCCACAACGTGCCACGGTACTCAGATAAGCTACGTAGTAGTATGCATAGGTTTGGGTGTCTCCAAACCCAGAGAGCCTACCACACACTTCAGATAACCAGCCGGGTTGCTGTTTCCGTGCAGCAGCATTGCCGCCGCCACGGCCGCATGCACCATGGCAGGCATGGCTCAACCACGAACCCTAACCCCCCAGGTACCTACTATATAGGGCCCTAGGGGCTCTAGTACCCTATATAGTAGGTACCCGGGGGGTTTAGGGGAAGGTTGAGAACGACCACCAAATAGTACGTTGCAGGAGTTCCGGTTGATACGACCTATGTCTTGTCACATCCGGCGAATCTAGCAAGACTGGCCTGTTATCTGACCCCTAAAAAGCCTTATAACATCGCTGCATGCTACCACGCAGCTTTCTCGCTCACGTCGTTCGCAGGGTGTGGGGCTTATGAGTACCCCAATTTGTCCAAGAAATGCCACGAATGATCTGACGCGTCTAGGTGGCTCAGCAACCGGGATTGCATTTCGTGCATCCTTAGATCCTCCCGCCACTGAAGCTCTTCCGATGTTTTGGGTATCGTTCCTCTCGACTCTAGAGCCACTCTAACCCCTAAACCCTAAACCCTGAACCCCTAAACCCTAAACCCCAAACCGTAGACTCTAGAGCCTGGAGCATAATTTCTTTTGCTTCCACATGCCATGTGCACGACGCACGTGCGGCATCCATGGGAGCTCGAAGTCGGCATCTTGAGAGTCAAAGACGATACATCTTAAACCCCCCGGGTACCTACTATATAGGGTTTAGGGTTTAGGGTTTAGGGCTTAGGGTCTAGAGCCCCTAGGGCCCTATATAGTAGGTACCTGGGGGGTTAGAGTATACATCTTAAACCCTGCTTAAAGGATCACGGGACTTAGTAAGTATAGGGTTATGATTATAGAATATAGGGTAACAATACTTATTATATCCCCCATTTAAGGGATTTATAACCTTATTTACCAAGTCTCATGATCCTCCAAGTAAGCCCTGTAAGCCCTAAACCTTCCAGAAGTGATGTGGATCCCTGCGGCCCAGGCGGGGCATACCATCCGGAGCATCGCGGAGCCTCGATTGAGGCTTTGGCCCCGGTATCAAAAACCCAGCAAAACGTTCCAGAAGTCAGAGACAGGCACCGCAGCAACCAGAAAGCACGCCAAGCCCGAATGACATCTCAAACGAAATTTGAGACCCTACAGAAACCGAGAACATCGTAATGGCGCTCCACTTCATACCCAAATTTTGCGGGCACTGCGACCACAAGACATATGGGTAGTTCTCTAAAATAGGGCCCCTTTTTTGGTCCCCAATATAGTACGGCACCCTTATAAAAGGACCTCCAAAAGGGACCCAAATTTAGAGAACTACCCATATTACGAAATGGGAGAAAGGAATACGACTACTCCCCATAATTTTAACAAACTACAATACATCCTGGGCTGAATTACAGAAGCCCGAATGCCTCAAAAGGATCTCCTTAAAGGAGCCCCTGATTCAGGACAGACTGTACATTTCTAGTCGTGTGCCCGCTCCTTTCGAAGAGTGCCACAACGACGGGCCACTGCTTTTGCCTGGCGTCGCTTGCGAACTCATCTGTCATGTGTGTAATGATTCGCAGGCAACCTCTTGTCAGGTGGGCCACGCCTCATCGCACCAGCCATAGTGTCGTTGAACATCATCTAGGCGGCAGTGAAGCATCCACATATCTTTCCAAAAGCTGTGCCGCTCCGACACACACCAAAGTTCAACCGATTAAGGTTTTGTGTGTGAGGTCTATGAGTCTGTGAGGCATGGGGGTTACGCTGGAATCAGTAGAAAACACGTGTTGCCAGGTTTGGAGGCACTTCGACTCAGTGCTACAATGCCTCAAGTAAGAGCAGCCATGCTCAAGAAGTGCCGGACTGCAGGAACCAGGATGCACCCGAATGGTCCACCGGGCTACCAGCACGGCCAACTTAGGTGTAGAGTCAAACTAAACAACGGAGGTAGACTGCCGGAACCCATTCTCAAGCCGTAGATTTGAAGGACCTTCCGCATTCCATTGTGCCATCAAACTTTCAGGCACTTGAACGAGTTGAGCCCTGCATCAGGGATGCTACATCTACTGCAGTCACCAGATATCACAACCGAGGACCTGTAACAGTCCCTCGACCCGAAGCCAATACAGGCTTGACATGTTGACCAGTGGGAACGCTGTGACTAGCACTGAGCAAGCTTGCGTTGTCAACTGCGTCAAGCCAAGTCAGTCACTGCCGATCACCACCTGACACAACTTATGCATCCATGACGTAGGGATGTAATTGAAAAAAACCCTTAGCTGCTCTGAATTTGTCATCCATGATGTAGGGATGTAATTGAAAACCCCTTAGCTGCTCTGAGTTTGTCAATCTACCCTAAACCCTAAACCCTAAACTAGTGCCAGAGCTGAAGCCATGTCCAGAGCCCCAATGGGAGCCTGGGATTCCTTCATCAGGCTCCTTCCCCTAACCCCCCAGGTACCTACCTATAGTCTCCATTGTAGTTCCTTTTTGGGGATACCTTATAAACTCGTTAATATATATGTTTGGTTAAACCAAAAAAGGAACTACAATGGAGACTAAGGTACTATATAGGTTACTAGAGCCCCTAGGGCCCTAATAGTTGGTACCTGGGGGTTAGGGGTTCCTTATCAAACAACATCGAAGACCACGCCCGCAGTATGCTCGGCACGGTGTCTGCCATGGGCGAAGTGATGTCAGGTCGGCTTTGCCTCGGCCCGTTTCGCAGCAGAGAAAACAGAACACACCTTGTCTGCTCCGCGACAGAGACCGTCTGATATTCAAGCGTGATGACTTAGCAATGGCATTTTCAAAACCACAACTCAACAGCTTCCACTTGAAATTTCCCCGGAACCCTTCTGACACTGGACTGAAAGTGCGAACCTTCAGAAAGGTCATGCAGAATTACCTCCTCCCCTAAACCCTAAACCCCAAACCCCTAAACCTGTGTCAGGGGGCACCGGCTGTGGACTTGAAGCTTCCTGGTCGTGCAGCTGCAGCTCAAAACGGACTACCACCATTCCCTAACCCCCCAGGTACCTACTATATAGGGCCCTAGGGCCTTGGGGCTCTAGTAGGTACCTGGGGTACCTGGGGGGTTAGAGATTGATTCAAGCCCAAACTTTCATATCCCAAACCGAAGCGAAGGTGACCGTCGGCCACATACTGTCACACACTTGTACAAGGGAGCTCTCAGTTGCGTATGGGTGCCTACACATACATTGCCCCTGCCAGAATTATGCAAGCTGAGGTTCTGTTGGGCAGTAGATGCGTTGGTAACTTCTTACGCACCCTGGAACCTGCCACGCTGGCCGTCTCAATAGCTTGGAACCAGACTACAATAGCCATGCGCACCACAATGGGAAGCCGATTGCCCTGAACGGGGAATCTTGATGTCCCAACTCGCGGCTAGTCATGCTCAACTTGCCGGCGCTTGTCTACGAAGCCTCACCAGACTTTCTCTTGCTTCTTCCTTACAGACTCACGAGCAGCCGGATCATAGCTTGAATGATAGCAGTCCTCCAACAGGGCAAGCGACACCGGCCAAGCTTGACCTGGGCTCCCAAGATGAATGGAACTTGACACGGGCTGGCTTAGCACGCTGCCAAACATGCACCATAGGATTATCCCCGAAACCAACCTCCTTGAGTCCTTGAGCGTGATCTAGAATGGCAATCACGCATGCACACATGTGCCACATCCAGCTAAGGTCCAGCTAACCATACAAAACCATACACATGGGTGCGTGCAGCGTGTGTATCTGGCTTGCCATGCACACGAATACATAATCGCGGCGACTTGCCACCGCCGTCCACTTCCACACTCCCAGCGCCCTCACGGAGTGTACTTGGAGGATCATGGGACTGAGCAAATAAGGTTATAAGTCCCTTACTTGGGTTATAAGTATAAAAACCCTAACTATAACCCTGCTTCCTACGTCCCATGACCCTTTTATGTTGACGAGGCCCCCAGCCGGCCACGCAAGCACTGATCAAAGCTCCCCAGGCTTTCTGGTCGGGCCTGGCCATCTCTCCAGTTCCCACAACGGTCCAAGTACTAGTATAGTATTAATATACTTTTGGCGCCCAAATACCTACTAAGTACCTACTATAGTGGTACTTGGACCCTTTGGGTTCTAAGAACTCGACGCAGAATATGCAGTTGACACTGTGACGATAGGGACGTCCTGGCGATGGGGAGTGCCCTAGTGTTGGCCATGGAGATACATTCGCGGTGTAAGTATCTGGTATTGCTTCATCATTGCGGGCACCATGACCTGCCACAAGGAATCTTCTCCACACCGTGGAAACGTCCCCCCAAAGGGTCCAAGTACCACTATAGCAGGTACTTAGTAGGTATTTGGGCCCCAAAAGTATATACTATACTAGTACTTGGACCCTTTGGGTCTATCTTCTGCAAACTGGGCAGACCACATCTCCTTGCTGCCCTGCATAGCGGTGAGAAATGAGACGGCCTGGACAGGGGGAAGGAGAGTCCAGCACTCACGGGCGGACCAACACGGAAAAAGAGAATAAGCACAAGGGTTTAGGGTTTGGGGTTTAGGGTTTAGGGTTTGGGGTTGAGGGTTTAGGTAAAAGAGAATAAGCATATTTTTGCTGCAACTCACGAATACACGACAGAGCGCTCGAAGCGCAAAACCCCCATGAGAGTGCAGTTGCCGTCACCTTTGCCTGCCAGAAAACCCATCAGTCTCCCACTCCGGAAAATGCCGGAACCCGAATTCCCAAACATGGTTCTTAAGACGATGTGCCGAAATTCTTCCACGTTCAAGGTCCAGAACCCTCATACAAAAGCTGAGTTCCCCGACTTCCTGCCAGGTTCCGGTCTTCTTCCTGGCATTCTTTCGGGGTTTCATCCTGTCTGATGGAGCGGAGCGCGAAGTAACTGGGTGTAGCTTGATCGTCACAACCCACCGCAGAGATGTTCAAGTCTAGAACCATGTCTGTTCCCCAAGACCTTCCCCAGAGGGTCCAAGTACTAGTATAGTATATACTTTTGGGGCCCAAATACCTACTAAGCACCTACGATAACGGCACTCGGACCCTTTGGGTTCGAAGCACTAACCCTAAACCCTAAACCCTAAACCCTAAACCACTCAGGGATCCTGCAGGCCAGCGCAAGCCGACTGAGCTCTTTCGAAGGATTGGCCTGGCAAGAAGGCCCGTCCCCAAGTACGCCATGACCGACCCCTAACCCCCCAGGTACCTACTATATAGGGCCCTAGGGGCCCTAGGACCCTATATAGTAGGTACCTGGGGGGTTAAGGGGCCTTACACCATGCTTTAGTTTCGGTTCAGACTTGCTCAGAGCTTTTGATACATTAAGCTCAACGCCTCAGACAACTAAACCCAGCAACGACACCCCCGCTGTCTCTGGGTCTCCGCACCCACATTGCCAGAGCCGGGCTTCAAAGGCCATGCTGCAAAGCGAAAGAGCCGAGGGCACTGGTAAGGCTCCAAGGAGCCACTACAATCGAGTGCTTGCCTTGGTATACCTGTTGGCCAGGCCGAAAGAACTCAGAAGGCCTGGCAACTGGATTTTTTCGTAAGGCTTAGGGCTTGTAGGCTCAACAAGGCTTGCTTGAAAGTCTCGTAGTCGAAGATACGCAAACTGTGGTAGAACCGACAAGATCACAAAGGACTGCTCTCGGTACGGAACCTGGCTGAATACCCACATGACATCATTCCTTGATCCTGAGTAGTCGACGTCTTCGTCAGTTGCCAGAGCACCGAAAGCTTATACTCCTAGCAAATCCAGTGCCTGCAAAACCTCGTGTTGCACAGCTGTATGTATGTACGTATTCATGCACGCCTTTCCTCGCACGCACGAAAACCGAATACGTGCAAATAAGCATGCCAATGTATGTACGCATGTTTGTTGTGCATAGGCATGTATGTATGGGGTGATGTATGTATATGTATGAATGTATGTATGTATGTATGTATGTATGCACTCATGCATGTTTGTTTGTTCCTTCGTGCACATGGATGGGCGGATGGATAGATGAGCTTTGTGAACGTGTGCGAAGGTCCATTTTGTATGCGCGTAGGCATGCATTCAAGCATGTATGCACTTCTGCACTTATGCATGCATGCATGCATGCATGCACGCATGCACGCATGCATGCATGCGTGCGTGCGTGCGTGCGTGCGTGCATGCGTGAGTGCGTGGATGCATGTAGGCATTGTATGCATAGCCACTGGAATTCAATGACTTGGAATGTAACTCTATGTCGTGTATATTTAAACCTATAGTGCGGTGTCGTGTAAGGCAACGCAGCGCAATGCAAGGTACTCTGAAATCACAGGCAGATTGTGGAAACGAGAAAGACAAACATGCAGGCAGGCAGGCAGGCAGACAGACACAGACATATAGTAGGTAGGGACAAAGATACATATGTATAACCCAATAAATATACTCAGAAGACCAGAAGGTGACAGGTCGATCGATCCGCTGCATACCAGAGAACCATGCGCACACTTGCTCATGATCATTGTTGCACGAGGTGCTGGCACTGTACCCTCTTGCTCGTACACACATTGTGATCCCATAGTATTATTCTGCTATAGCCTCACCCATCAAGCAGTAGCCCTGCTTGAGGTCGCAACAAATGGTTTCGACTGCTTGGACGAGAACTGGCTTCCGAGGCATGGGTTGGGGAATTGCGATCGAATATCCATTGCCTCTAACGGAAGACGCAAAAGAGCCGCCAATGTATGGCATCTTCAGCTCAAGCAACGTCTAAGTTCAACGGCTCCAACTTGGCAGCTGTTGAGGGTAGTTCCGAGTGATAGCGGGGTTTCGTATCCACTGCGTTTAAACGAATGCACATCACGGAATGACGCGCTGAAATACGGTATCGACTCGTCGCGCTTCAAATGTCAAAGGACCCAAAGCGTGTTGCCAAAACCCACGGGGGCGGTCTTTTGCGGAAACACAGCGTCGCTGTCAATCCAATGCCGCAGGTTGTGTCCTTAGCGGCCTGTTACTGAATGCGGGAATCCGTGCTTCAGCGGCCATAACAAAGCAAGATGACGGTGTTCCAGTACTCAGCGCTGTAGGTCGATAAGGGCAACCCTTGATTAGAGCCACCCCCATCCCAAAGGGTCTAAGTACTAATATGGTAGATACTTTGGGGCCCAAAATACCTACTAAGTA